TAAAGCAGTTGCACCATTCTCATTCCCAACTGCCATGTGTAGGAGGGTTCCAGTTTCTCCATATCCTCACCAACATGTGTTATTATCAGATTTTCTGATTCTAGCTAACCTAGTGGGTGTGAAGTGGTATCTCATGGTTTTGATTTGCATTTCCCTGATAACTAATTACTTAAAGCGTCTTTTCATGTGCTTACCAGTCATTTGTGTATCTTCTTTGGACAAATGTCTTTTTAAGTTTTTGCCCATTTTTGATTGGGTTATTTGTCTTTTTGTTAAAGTGTAAGAGTTTATTATGTATTCTGGGCACAAGGCCCTTATCAGATATATGATTTGCAAATATTTTCTCACGTGTAGTAGGTTGTCTTTTCACTTTCTTTTTTTTTTTTTTTGAGACAGAGTCTCTCTCCATTGCCTGGGCTAGAGTGCGGTGGCATCAGCCTAGCTCATAGCAACTTCAAACTCCTGAGCTAAAGCAATCCTCCTGCCTCAGCCTCCAGAGAGGCTGGGACTACAGGCATGCACCACCATGCCCCGCTAATTTTTTTGTTTCTATTTCTAGTTGCCTAGCTATTTTTTTCTATTTTCAGTAGAGATGGGGTCTCGCTCTTGCTCAGGCTGGTTTCGAACTCCTGCCTTCAAGGGATCCTCCTGCCTCAGCCTCCCAGAGTGCTAGGATTATAGGTGTGAGCCACCACACCCGGCCTTCACTTTCTTGACAGTGTCCTTTGAAACACAACAATTTTTAATTTTGTTGAAATTCAATTTATCTGCTTCTTCTTTCATGGCTCATCCTTTTGGTATTATATCTAAGAATCCTTTGACAAATGCAAGGTCATAAAGATTTACCTATGAGTTTTCTTCTTAGGTTTTTATAGTTTTATCTCTTACATTTAAGTCTTTGTTCCATTTTGAGTCACTTTTTGTATATGGTGTTAGGTAAGAGTCAAACTGCATTCTTTTGCATGTGGATATTCAGTTGTCCCAACACCATTTGTTGAAAAGACTATTCTTTCCCCTTGGATGGTCTTGGCACACGCTTGCCAAAAATCAGTTGGTCATGATATGTGAGTTTATTTCTGGACTTCCAATCCCATTTCACTTATAAATATATTGTCGTGACAGTACCACACTGTCTTGATTACCATTGTTGTGTAGAAAGTTTTAAAATCGAGACATTTGAGTCTTGCTACTTTGTTCTTCTTTTTCAAGATTTTTTTAATTAGTCTGGGTCCCTTGTGATTGCATTTGAATTTTAGATTCAGCTTGTCGATTTCTATAAAGAAGTCAGCTGGGATTCTGATGGGAATTGCACTGAATCTGTAGAACAGTTTGGGAGCACTGACATCTTAATAATGTTAAACCTCCCAATCCATGAACATGGGATGCTTTTTTGAGTATTTAGATCTTCTTTAATGTCTTTCAACAATATTTTATGATTTTCGCAGCATAAGTTTTACATTTATTTAGTTAAATTTATTCCTAAATATTTTATTCTTTTGGATGCTTAGTAGATTTGTTTTCTTTATTTCATTTTAAAATTTTTCATTACAAATATAGAAATACAATTGATTTTTATATTAACACTGTATCCTGCTACCTTGCTGAATTTGTTTATCAGTTCTAATAGTTTTTTAGTGGATTCCCTAGGATTTTCTATATACAAGATCATGTTATCTGTGAATAGAAGTAATTTTAAAGTTCTTTTCTAATCTGAATGCCTCATATATTTTTTTATTGCCTAATATAATGTTAAATAGAGGTAAGAGCAGACATCCTTATCTGATTCCTGATCTTAGAGAGGAACCATCTAGAATTTCACTAATAAGTATGATATTAGGTGTGGATTTTTCATAGTTGCCTTTTATCAGGTTGAGGAAGTTCCCTTTTATTACTAGTTTGTTGAGTGTTTCTATCATGAAAAGATGTTTTATTTTGTCAAATGGTTTTTCTGAGTCTATTGAGATGATCGTGTTGTTTTTGTGTTTTATTTTGTTGATACGATGTTTTACATTAGTTGATTTTCAGATGTTGAACCAAACTTGTATTCCTAAGGTAAATCCCACTTGTTTACGGTGTGTAATGCTCCTTATATGAAGCTGGAATTGGTTTGCTAGTATTTGGTTAAGGATTTTTGAGTCCATATTCATAAGAGATACTGGTCTATAATTTCTATTTCTTGTGATGTCTTTGTTTGGTTTTGATATCAGGGTAATATCAGCCTCATAGAGTTGGCAAGCGTTCCCTCCTTTTCTATATTTTGGAGGAGTTTGTTAGGAATTGGTATTAATTCTTTTTTAAATATTTGGTAGAGTTCATCAGTGAAGCCATCTGGGCCTGGGTTTTTTTTATTTGTAGGGAACTTATTTTTATTACTACTTCAATCTCTTCACTCATTATAGATCTATTTAAATTGTCTATTTCTTCTTGAGTCAATTTCAATAATTGTGTCTTTCTAAATTTATCCATTTTAACTAAGGTATCTAATTTGTTGGCATACAATTATTTATAGTATTCCTTTATAATTCTTGTTGTTGTTGTTTCTGTAAAGTCAGTCTATCGTCCCCGCTATCATTGCAGGTCTCCGAGGCAGTTTCCCAAGGCAGTGAAACTGGACCATGGGTGAGAGATTAGTAACAACCATGTCCACAGAAACTAGCAGCAGATAAGCTGTTTCTACTTAAGTGTTTTATTTTAACACTTTTCTGTTCTCGGTAGAATCCATGAGTTACATGTTGAAAGTAAGGCTCAACTGTCAATTGGAGTTGGCGTAATTTTTCTGGAGACTAAGCTGATAATACCTATTAGATTTTTAAAAATATGCCTGCCCTTTGTCTTGGCAACATCTTTATCAGGAATTTAACACTTGGACGCACTTTAAAAATTCACTAATATTCATGTATAAGGATGTCCACTGAAACATTAATAAAAATAGGAACACAATCAAATGCTTATCAATAGGAGGCTGGTACATAAAGATTTGTACAGCAACACAGTAAAATACTATGCAAAATTTTGAAAGAAAGAAACAGTGCTCATTAAAAAGAATGAGGTATATGCTAATATAAAATGATCTCCAGTTTTTATCATTGAGTGAAAAAAAAGGTACAGAACCAAGTGAGTAGTACGAACATCTTTGTATAAATTTTTGAAATACATAAATAGATGTATATATGTGCGCATTTTTTCCTGGAAGAAATTATAAAAAACTATGTCTTATAATTACCTTTGGCAAGAGATTATGGGTAGGTGGGAAAGAAACTTTCAGATTTTATTTTTCCCTCTAGAAATGGTTAGGATGTTATAATCTTGGATGTATTTTACTTTTTTAAAATGCCAACAGGGTTACTTAGTTGGGTAGGAAGATCTGGGGACCATTTTTGGTTTTCTTCTCTGTTCTTATCCATATTAATTTTTGATGAAATGTTATAAAAGACAGCCTATGAAATTAAAACAGATGCTTTCAAAGTACAATCTTGTGAAATAAAATTCTTAGTTTTCTTAATCACTTAGTCTCATATGGCCACCTTAAAACTATCTTAGTCAAAACCAGAATAGTGGGTCACTACTGAAAACCTCAGAAAGGAGAAGCCCTTCTGTCACAGATGCCCAAAGACAGGAGAACATGAGGTGCCTGAAGCTGGCTTCCCTCTGGGCCCTTGCTACTCAACGCATGGTCCACGGACCAGCAGCCCCAGCGCCACCCAGGCCCTAACTGGAAATGCAGACTCTCACCCTACCCAGACCTACTGGATCAGAATCTGCATCCTACAGGACTCCCAGGTGATTTGTCTAGGTGATTTGTTAGCAGCTTAAAGTCTGAGAACTCCTGGACCATCTCAGAGGTTTCATCCTTAGTTACATGCTGTAGGCACCAGATGTGTCTTTAAACCTCTCAACATGGACTCACAGAATCTGAATCTCCAGCGTGGGCCCCTGCATATGAGATTCCAATGTGCAGCTTGATACTGAGAACACCCCGTAATAATCAATATTTCCTTCTTCCGTGCTCCTCCAAACACACTCCTGTCATAACATTTGTGAAAACCACTCTAATTCATGGAGTGCTCTCTAGGGACCAGTCACTACGCTAAGCACTTCACCTGTATCACTTCCTTTTAGTCCCTGCAACCCTGTAACCTCGGCATTGGCCTCCCCATCTTACAGATGAGAAAACTGAATCTTAGAGTTTAAGTAACCCTCCCAACCCTCTGCAGCTGACAAGTAGGCTGCTTAACTTCTGTGCTCTTAACTCTATTATAATATAGTCACCGGTTTGCTTGTATCTCTCACTACAATGTGACCTTTCAATGTTAAGAATTATGTCATTCTTTCTTGATCTCTGGTGCCCAGTTCAAAATAGGTACACAATAAATATTTAAGAATATCAAATGCACCATTAGCTTGATATATTGCAGAGGCACAATAAAAGGTCGATGAGTAAAAATATGTATGCGTGAGACACGGCCCAGAAACCTCGAGCCAATGGCAAGGTCGGCCCTTCCCCTCCCTCGGGATGGTGTTAGGACCTCGCTTGGTGCCAACTAACATTTTATCTGAAAGTCTGGCCTCAAGTCCCCATCGTTCAGACCTTTCACCATGTCATACCTCAAGGTCAGGGCTCCGTACTGCTCATGCCAACATTCCCGGTGTATCAGGGCGGCTCATGGCATGCATCTGTGCTTCCCATGCAAGGCATCAGAGAACAGAGCACAAGAGAGGGCTGAGCAGAATGAGCATTCCAGGCCCTTCCGGTCCACCCCCCAGCTTCTGTTTCGGCTACAATTCCCAACTCTCTCCAGTCAGCAGACATTTGCACAGATGTCTGAAGGTGTCACGTGTTCCCCGTAGCCTGCAAAACAGCTATGATTTCAGTTCCTTAGCACCATCCTGCAGCCCAAATCACCACTCAACTTTGTTTGCCACTGAAGCTCTTCACCCGACCCTGACACACACCTTGTCCCCATGCCCAAGTCCCCACAAAAACCCAAGAGAGATCAGTAAGTTACTCTGATGTTTATTTTAATGCATCTTAGTCCACACAGTTGGTATAAAATCAGAAAAAGCAAAGCAAAAACAAAGGTCTGGAGTCTTAGCATCAGAAGGGCACCGTATATACATCTACAGTTGGTGGCCAATATGGGTCATTGCCAGACAGTCCTTGGAGGCACAGAACAGCCTAGATCCAGCCAAGCTCTGGGAACTCACAGTCCCAAGGGGTCTAGACACTTGTCCTGATGCTCTGACCGTAAGAAAAAACTACAGGAGTGAAGAAAGCTTTACGATTTACTCATTATGGTAATAACAGCAGCCTAGCTAGGTACAAAAGCAGTTATAAACCATTTATATTACACAGAATTATTCAGGTCTCCGTTCTATTTTACGCTGTAAAATCGTTAATTGAATCTCCAGTGAGTCGTTTAGATGATTAGTGATAATAAGGAATGGTAAATCCATAGCACCATTTCACAGATTTGTTGTCACCGATTCGCACTTAGATGCGTGACCGAGATACCCCACCTGCAAGGGCAAGTATTCCAAAGCCGCAGCCGTGTTTTTGCCGAGGGCTCCAGTTTGGGCACTTTGTCCGTGCGTGAGAAAGGCTTCACACGGAGCTTTAGGCAGCGATGTTTCTGTTGAATGCACGGGGTCACCCACAGTAGCAGGGCTCTTGGCCATGCGGGGTGTACCCACACTTTGGTTTGCTAAATGAGGTGGACTGGGAGGGAGGTATCTTCTTTCAAATGAAGGGGAGGGGGGCGAGACGGAGTTCTTTTGTTTGTGGGCAAAACGAATAAAAACAAAAATACTGAGCGTGATTATACTGTTAGGATGTAAAGTTCCTTAGCTACTTCTTTAAGGTTCAACACGAGGCTGATGGTCAACATAAAAAGCAAACAATACTATGTACATATATGTAAAAAGTGTTATAAATAGGTTTTATAAACCGTAGATATATACATCTTCAGTCAACAGCAACCCCCCCCACAACTGCTTTCTATTTGGTTTGGTTTGAGTTTGGGTTTTTTGGCTAGCTCTTTTTTTCTGTTTTCTGGTTTCCTTCCTCCCTTCCCCATGTACGCTCAGAGCCTCAGACTGACCGTCTGGGCGCCTCATTCGCGTTTCCGCAAGATCACGTAGATGACGCCGCTGAGAAGGGCCAGGGGGAAGGCCACCCAAGCCAGGATGTAGGCAAAGCCGTAGGAGTAGTCGGAGTTGAGATGCCATTCTGGGTGCCTCACCGTGTAGATGGCCGCTGCGCTCATCACGCACAGACCTGGGGAAGGAAAGGCACAAGCTGGGTGAGGGAGAGTTCACCGTGGGGCGCACCCCCTCCCCCGCCACCTCCAACGCTGACAACACGTGCAGGAAGCATATTTCTAACTCTGGAAGGAATCTGCTTCCAGATCCAGAATTGAGAGGAGGCGGCCGGAAAGTATAGGAGCAACGACAACAGCTTGCTCTGCGCTTCCAATCTTGGCCACCCAGGCCATAATCTTGAGGGTCTTTTCACTTTTTCTGCTCCATTTTTCTTTCTTGAACTGTCACCACTCCCCAGGCCACATGAGGTGACCAGCAAGCATTCAGGTTGCAAGACAAACCAGGCTGTCTCTTTTCAAGGGTGGTTGGGTGTGGGAGCCCCCGGAAACCCGTGAACCACCCTGCAGATGAGTGGTGGCGTTACCCAAACCGGGGGAAGTGAAATGCACTTCACCATTGCTAGAGTCGGGCCGCAGCAAGAGCACTGGTCTCCATGCAGACCACAGAGCGCCGGTGCCCCTGGCAGGGCTGCCACATAAGAGATGGAGCATGCCATACCCATGGGCACTGCTGGGCAGACGGAGGAACATGCGCAGGGGGACAATGAGGGGAGGGGGAAACGAGGAGGATGGAGACAGGTGAGTTGGAAGCAAGGCTTCAGAGGAGCAAGGCTGTCGAGGGCAAATTCCATTTCACTGGGTGCCCCCAGGATGAGGTCTGAGGACCAAACAGGGGCCCAAGGGCATCAGATGCACAGGTAGGTCAGGCCACCCTTCCTGGCCCACCAATGCAGTCCTTTGGTGTGTAAGAGAGAAGAAAGGCCTCCACCTCGGGCCTTGTGGGACAGCCAAGCTCAAACTGGTGGCTCAAGCCCACGTGACAGTCAGCGTCCCCCAGCAGGGAGGGGTCTGGTGATGTCAGCACCCTAGCCTGGAGCTGCACAAAGCCCAGTCTGTTCCCTCCTAAAAACAAGGTCTTTGAGAAGCTGTGAGTGACTCTATTATAAACCCAGCATGCCGTGTGGGATTCATGTGGTTCCAAAGCTCCAAATGCCCCCCTGGGCCACCTACATCTAACCTACGCTGCTATTTGGGCTGCTATTTTACTGGACACTGTAACTTTGTTTGACAAAGTGCAGAAGTGGGACTATGTCACATTAGCCACCCTGATAAGATTGTCCTTCTGCAACTCAGAGGAGAAAACTCCCACTCGATTGGCCCCTGTCGACAAAGCCACACAATAGTCTTGGAACTACTGTGGGATGGGATCCAGGACCTGCCACCTACACAAGGCTCAGGAGGCAGCAAAGATGTCCCTGTCAGGAGGGGAACCAGAGCTGGTGAACTGCTGTTTGGGGAGAACAGCAGTTTGACGTGCTGGTGACATACTTTATTTGCCGTGGGGTCTGGGACCCTCAACTATCTTGCCCTGCTGCTCCACGGCTCACCTCTACAGAGTGCTAATTCTTGTCTTTAAGACATAGTGAAGTTGTCTCTTGAGTTCTGTCTGACCTACCTAAGGAGGGCAAGGCTATAAAAAGGGAAACATGGCGTGTAAGAGAAAGCGGTGTTAAGAGAGTGCTAACAGGGCAGGACTACGCTTATCGTGCGGGCGGGGCTCTCAGACGGGGTGTTTGACCAGCGCAGGAGTGAAAAATGCCTCACTAGCTGACGGGACCAGCTATAGCCCAATCTCACTGGCAAAGAGAAAACATCGGGCTCCGTCCTTGACCAAGAGGGACAGAGAGAGGCAGGATGCACAAGTGCAGTGACTGACCAGACGGCTGACATGTATGGCTTTCGCCCAAGTAGAGGCTCAGAAATGAACGACTCTAAGCTTAACTGCAATAAGCAATACACTTGGATATCTACAAAGCCAGAGAGAGCATTCGTACTTATCATTACTGTTGTCAGGACACTGATGTCTTAGGGATATGTTATTACCAGGCCATCTGTATGGAAAGCAACAGATGGACCCTGAAACACAGAAAGAATGAAATTCTTTGGCTGGGTACCCTCCATCTGCAGCCCGGAGCAGTTGATGTCATGCAATAGTTGTCTCCCAAAGCCAGCTATTCTTCCTAATAAGTGGATCATGACTCACTTTCTCAGCAACCAGTGGGTGGAGATACGTCATCAAAGTCCCCCTGGTGAGGGCAAGCGAAGCCCTGACATGCAGGCAGACATTCTGCCTTTCCTGCAGATGAGCAATCTGCTCTTCGGCAGTGACCTGGACCCCCTGGGAGGGACGTGAGTCTGGGCATGGAGGTCAGCTGTGAGTGGAAATACACTGACCCCGTCCACACAGCAAGAAAGTGCTGGGCCTCCAGGTCACGAGTGTCTCTACCTGTTCCTGGATGGCTGGCTTGCAACAACTCCCTGAAAGTCCTCCCTAGCGCCCTTGTGAGGAGGAGGTCTCCAGCCAAGCCCCCTTAACAGCAACTGCAACCCCGAGTGAGTGATTGGAGCACGGAACCTTGGAAGGGAGCCCCCAAAGGCAAAGGGAGCCACGGCGATTCCCGCTACTTCCCCATCATCTGCATTCCCCCTGGTTCAGTAAACATGTAATGAGTGCCTACTGCATGCAGGCACTGTTCTAGATGTACCCAGATAAATGCGACAAGGCCCCTACCTTCAAGATGTGTCTGCCCAGAGACAGACGTACCCACAGACACTTTCAATGTAGCGTGACGGAATTTTGAGAGAAGGAGAGAAGCACACCAGGTGCCCCGAGAGCACAGATGGGCAATGAATCCCAACCGGGGCACTGGAGAAGCCACACGCAGTCTCGCATGACAAGCCGAGAGCTCCCCACCAGAAAGAGAGGGCCTTCGAGGGCACACAAAAGAGGCTGTGATGAGAAGCCTCTGAGGAACCTCGAGCGAAGGAGAAACACGATCCGATGTGTGTTTCAGGACGCTCGCTCTGGCGGCAGTGCGGGAGAAGGATTTAGGGGCGGGGACAAGGCAGGTGGCTGGAAGGGGCATGAGGAGAGCTTTGCATAGACGTGCTGGCGTTAGTGAGCAAAGACAAAGGAAGCGGGCACAGTGCCTACCAGGGATGCCACATGTGTTGGGACGTAGTGGCGGACTGGCCCCGGGCTGAGGCAGAGGCGAGAGGCCGCAGCACTGCCCGGTGTGTTCTCTCGGCAGTGGGAGCATGGGGATGTCCAGGAAGCCAAGCGAATAAGGTCGCAAGGAGCGAGCCGCCGGCAGTGTTGAAAGAAATGGCGCAAGCCAGCAGATATCAAAGTGCGCCTTGGAAACCCCCACAAACGCACCTGGCTGAAGGCCAGAGTGCAGCTGCTAGGAAGCGATGTCAGGGAGACCGCCAGGATGGTCTGGGAAGGCCATGATGACAGGCTGAGGAGCGAGTGCCTTCACCTCACCCCTCCTCATCCTCAGCGCAACGAGGAGGGCGGGGGCTGTAAGACTGTTCCCCTGAGAGCGTCGGGCTGCACGTGTGACTCACACAGAGGCTTCTCTGTGCTTCTGGCAGTCTTTACTCTTGCATTCACCGGACCCCTGCTGCCTGGAAAGCCACCCACACACAGACCCTGCTCTGGGCATGGCGGGGAGACATCCAGAATGACTCACTCCCACGAGAGCTGCTAAATATGGTGTCCGACGTGAGCCACGTTTCAATCTCCGGACAGAAGGGCACTGTACTTGTATTAATCCCCCCAAATTCTTTTATTCTAAATGCCTATATCTGTATTGATCTGTCTAAAAATAAAATCCAAAATGAAACAAAGTAAATTTAAAAAGTGAACCTCACTCAGAAGTCCCCACTATCTTTTCTGCTCAAATGGAACCACACATTTGACCTGCGTCTGGTTCCTCCAAGGAAAAGCAATTATCTAATCATCCAACCAATAGTTATTCAGGGCCTTCTGTGTGCTCTGCATGGAGCCAGTTGCTGGGTCTAAGTAGGGAAATAAATCAAAACATGCAAAACTTTCTTTCTAGGTCTGTATCTATACGAATTCCTTGATGGTTTCCCATCTAGTGTAACCGACCCCATAGAGCCGAGGAAAGGATAACTTCATCCAGAAACAGATGGCTATAGGTTCTGAAAATAAGAATGGCTCCAAAATCCAGATACAGGATGAGGATGTTCCTTCTCTGAGAAGGAGGTCTAGAAGACTCTATAGCCCATGAATGGGATGAGTCGTCTGTGAGGGAAATGTCCCGGAAGACTTTACAGTGGGATTAGAGCCAGCTTAATGGCTACACCAGTGGTTCCCAACCCTGGAAGCACATCAGAATCACCCAGGGACTGGCCCCAGAGCTCAATGAGACCCTCCAGAGATGATGCTTGAGCACTGGCATTTTTTAAAAAGCATCCTAGGTGATTCTGATATGCAGCTCAGGCTAGAAAGCACTGAACTGGAGGAAGGCGCCCTTTGATATGCACCCAGGAAGCAGCCAACCTAAGAGAAGTATGTAATCAAGACAAGACAGTTCTTAGCTGTGAGCCTTGTGGCTAACTGGAGAAGGGATGATGTGGCAAACCAGGGAGCCCTCTCACCACACAGAGAGCTGTAATCTAGAGCAGGGAGACGGAGCCCGAGCCCTGCGCACCTTTCAACCTGCCTTTCCTGCAAAGTTCATGTGCATGCTCTGTAAATACCACAGCTGGGCCCCCGAAGGGAAGCCGGTGCAGAGATAACCCAGCCTGGAACAGCCACTTGGGAGACTCAGCAGAGATTCAGGGCGTTTCCACTTGAAATGCACTTGCCCTGCACGGAAACCAGCTCCTGTGGAAGGCACACTCTTAGATTTCATATCCCATGACTGTGGGGCTACTTTCTTCTTCTTTCTTTCCTTTCTCCCCTCCTACCTTTCTTTATTATGTCTTTTGTTTTGTTTTAGCTTTTCTGACTTCTTCCTTGATGTTAAGTAGTCACTTCCAAGGTTTTCACTAGTTCTAGTCTCCAACAACCCTACCCTCATTTGCTCTCTAGTTACTAGCTTCTTAATAGTCCCTGAATTGGGAAACAGCATGACAAAGTTCATTTAGAACTGTCACATGCTAAAGGACTCAGGAGATCTCTGAGTAGAGTTCCTAACTCTTTCAGTTCTTAGCTTTAGCAGAAAGACCCTGCAGCAATTTCAAATGTAATATGCCAGAGAGCTGAGGTTCCTAGAGGACCAACTTTCAGATCATTTGGACTGGGGTTGACAACAAAGGGCAGAACATTCTCGGGACTTGTAAATTACACTGTTATTTTAGCTCATTTCTAATTCAAGATAACTTCCTATTCAAACAGGGGCCGCTAAACTGACCAGCTGATAGCTAAAAACTAGGTCTGTCTGTCGAGAGATAAGCAGCTAGATCTGAAAGGGGATAAGAGAGGAAGGGATCATGTGCTTTCACATCAGAGGTGTTCACAGCACAGTTCTAAACACTTATATGGAGTTCAGAGAGCAATCAAAGCAGTGAGATGAGAATAAATTAGTAAATACATTTTGGAAGGCTAGAAAATCTTGATACCTAAGAGAGTTTGGCTGAACTGAAATATTTTAACACACAGCAGTGCAGTTACTTGTGTGACTTAACGGTTCTTATCTCTGGGCTGAAGTTTTGGCCTAAAATGTTGTTAAGGAGATATTGTTTGAGAATTTAAAGCTGAAATATCTCAGTGGGAAGAATGAAGATGAAGGTGCTGCCTATTGCTCCTTCAACAGCATCTGAACTCTCCTCAGTCCCTATAGTTAGTGTGACGACGTCCGATGGTCCAGGTTCGTGTTCACCACAGATGCTCGGGAGCTTCAGAATAATGAAGGTGCAAATTTGCACTTCCCCTCCAATGAGGGTGATCAGTTCCAATGAAGGACAACGTGAAAACAAGGGCTTCTGCCTTGGATGTTGTGTTCTTTAACATTTTTGGTGGAGTCTGTGTCTCTAAATATGAGGAGACATGCCCAGCAATATTCAACCCGCATTGTGTGGAAGTGTAAGCACTCAATCGTCCCATGAGCTGGGTGACCTGGGCCTACATTTACCTCTCCTGGGCTCAGTTTATTCATCGGTAAAATAACAAGCTTGTATGGATTAAACATAAACATGTTATAAAAAAAAGTCTGGCCTGTAAGTCCATATAATTATCTAGAGGACACAGTCACTGATGCAATGGATATGATCATCATTCGATTTGATATCAAACCATGAGTGAGCAAAAGAAGAAACCCCAGAATACATTACAGCTTTCTTTATCCCATCTGAAAATGGAGCATAGCTCTTCACTTCAATGTACCTGGAAATGGTATCTCGTTGCATAATTAGTCACTTAACAGAGCTGGCAGCAATGCAGGAGCTTGGGCTTGGTATAATAAAACCTGTGCAAGTAGCAAAGCATCGTTTGGTTTTAAAATCCCCAAACCATGAACATTGAAATGTTGTATTTAAGTGTTTAACGGGGAGTGGCTCTTCAGTTTACTTCCTTTTTCCAGGAAAGGGTAACTCTCTGGCTTCTAGAAAAGGTCGCCAACACTCCCCCTCAGGCCGTGTCTTCCCATATGACCCTGCATAAGGCATCGTATCTGCCCATCCATGCAGCAAGCACGCACGGGCTGCTCTCAGCCTTCCGATGACTGCCCCTGAGCACAGGATGGTGACGTGGCGCCACGGGCGTCTGACAGCCAACCAAAACAAGAGATGCTGCGTCCTCTGTCTTCTCAGGGGGCCAGAATCCAGAGCATCTCCCAGTACCCAGAGCTTGTGATTTATGAACTTGGACTACAGAATCCACCAGAGCAGCTGCCTCTTACTCCTCTCCAAGGCCCTGCTGGCTCAGTCCACCGGCAGTCGACAGCCCGGGGGCTGGGGGGTGGGGAAAGGAAGAGCCAAAGAAGCAAGACACCGGCTAGAATCCGGAGACACTGTGCATGTGGATAACCTCTCCAATGAGGGAAGCTGAAGACAGTTTAGGGAGGAGATGAAGGAGACCATTCATGTGTTTTCATGTGTTGTCATGTTCGGAAATGATGCATGTTACCCAGCAGTGCAAATGAAGACATCAGAGGATGACAAGAGTAAATCAAAGCCCAGTAGAACCTAGCAACTAGAGTAAAGAAGGGCAAGAATTTATCGGTGTCACTGCGTCACAATCTACAGCCAGAAGACACATACAGAAGACACATGTGCCAGCTCTCAGCACATGAGGGCCATTTTCTACACTGAAGCAGAGGTTTCTTGGGCATAATGTAATCCGCAGGCAACAGCCCTCGAACTTGGCCTTTGCTCTACCGACATTCTCAGTATTTACCTCTGATTATGTGTCCAGGTTTAGCTTCATTCCTGATGATACAACTGGCTTGGGTGGGGACCTTCCCTCCAGAGCCTCTCAGCCCTTGTTCACATACACCCCATCCCTGGGAGAAGTGGAGAGCTCCCAAATTCTAAGACACATGTACACACGCACACGCACACACACCCCTCTGCACTTTACGAAAAGCGTCCACCGGGCAGACTCACAAACACCAGTCACTCTGGGGTGACATCCTTCTACTAAACAACTCATTCTGCAGGCTTGGACAGGCCCAGCTGCCACTCTGACTTGCCCACCCACAACTTACCAGCAAGGATCTGAAAGACTCCAGTGATGTAAAACCGGCCCCCTTTGGTGAGAGTGAAGAGCTGGCAGAAGAACAGGAACAGGGACAGAACACTGAAGATGACGGACAGGATCATGGTGGCCTGGACAGACTGCAGCCATTCTGTGGGGAAGAGACACGTGGTTAGGAGAGCTGGCCACAGCCAGGGAGGGCTCTGCCTCACAGGCAGCAGAAGCCCTCTCTCCTTAGCAGAACTCGGACAATTTCACTTTTGCCCTCTAAAAAGTCAGTCTTCATTTCAAAGTTTCTTTGGGAGAAAAAAATACATACATATATATATATATTATATATATATATAATGCATGTTTAATTGTGGACATTTTAGGAAAGGGCTGTAAGAAAATATCTACACTCTTACCATTAGGGGTTAAACTCAAGTTGAAATATATTGAATTTCCTTCCAGCATTTGTGCTAGTGTGTTACTTATGGGTATATATTAACGCATGTGTTACAGAGGGCCTGGGCCTCACCCACTGTCTTTCCTCTTCTTGCCCTCGGGGGTCTTTTAAGGGCTTATCAGAACTCCTATATGCCAGGAAGAACAGTTGAAAACCACTGTTCGAAATATCTGTATCCCCCAAGATGTAAAGATCAAGGGAGTGGCTGCTGGAGCCCAAACTAATTTTTTAGAGGAATGGAGGAAAACACTGATAAAGCAAGGTACGCTCTGTATGGGTCTGGAAGGCCATTTGCTTGGCCACGCCATGTGTTTTGTCTTGGTCAGTCTTGACCACGGCCATTAGCCTCTGCACAGCGCAGCTCGTGCTCAGCAGATCACCAGATAGGATCGAGGGTCACACTTCCTTATCTCTGTTGAACTGCAAACCTTAGATCAAATCTCAGAGCCTCCAACTGAAATTCAGACAAAGAAGAGAGGAAGAGAGTGTCCCTCGTGGTCTCTCCAGCTCACCATCCACTGCAAACTCATGGCATTTCAGGAAGGAAGAGGGAACAACCCGAATTCCACACTCTAGTGGGAAGGCCACGGGGTTTACCTAGAAGAGCTGCATCTAGCCTTTGTCCTTTCTTCCCAGTGCCACATGACAGGGGGCGGGCACTGCTCTCAAGAGGGAGCAGCTACTGCGGAAGCTACAGGGTTTCATCCTCTCACACATCAGTGCTTAACCCAGTACTCAAAGCCATGAAATCTGGATGGTCTATAATTAACTGAATAAGATAAACCAGTTTTGAGTCGCAAGTAGCTCACGGCAGAATTTTAAGGGTGCTGATGAGATTAACTGTTACTACAGTTTCACGTGAGATTTTTCCAAGACACAGACTGGAAGCATTTGAGAGTTGGAAGAAACCTGAGAGATCAAATAACGCAGCTTCTTTGCACGGAGAGAGATTTCTGGAGAGGTTCGGCCAAGCCCAGGTGACCCAGCCAAACCCGGGAGAACCTTAATTCCATGCTAGCACTCTGTCCACGGCAGCACTACAGACGCTTCTTTTATTTTTTCAATGTCTTTGTCAATTAAGGCAAGAAAATGATGTCTAATGGGTTGTGCACCATCCTGATTCCATTGCGACATAACCTTAATTCAATCTGTTTGTCTTTACCCAGCAGAGAGGTTCTTTCGGAGGAGCACTTTGCGATAAAGATAATGTTGCCATCATATTACTTTTTTTAAGTAAACGAATTATGTAGCACTCTGGTAGATGCAGCTGGAAACACAAAGAAATCTGAGACCTAAATCTGGAGCTAAACAAAGGGATTCACTTGGGCTGGGAAACGTTCTTCTCTGTGCGCTCTCACAAGGAACACGGCTGGTGGGGATGACGTCCTAAATCTCTTTCTCCAATTCTGAAAATTTACCTCTGGCTTTTACCTCCGCTGTCATTGTGAACAAGAACTTCAACCAGATACAGAGAAAACTTAAAATATTTATATGTTTAATCTACATGAGTAGGACATGTCCCTAAGATTTAATAATGGAACTAAATACTTCTTGAAACTTCTTTCACCAGTAAATTGAATTTTAGTTCCAACCCAATTACTGAGTTTTAGTTCCAACCCCATTACAAAAAAACTGAGTTGTTTTGCCACAAGTTGATTCTCAAATCAGATCAGAATTAGGGGATCAAGGACATTTTTATTCAATGAAGATTTGTTGAATACCTACTGTTTTGAGCCAAGCCCTCTGGTTGGTTCCGGTGATACAAAGATGAAAAGGTGGTTTTCAACCATAACCATGATAAATAAAACACATACATTAAGGCAGCAAGTCCAACTATATCACCAATCACGATATACGTGAAGGGGTTCCAGGCACTCATTATAAGACGTGGAATTTTATGTTGGATTAAATCATTCCAGCTATATTCTGATACAAGAAATACACTAAAACAAACAACAGTCGAAAACCAAAAGATTCTAAAAAGAAGCTCCACGCCAATGTTAACAAAAAGAAAGCAGGTAAAGTAGTAGTAGCCTCAGACAAAATAGAATTTATGCTAAAAGGATGAACGTGTCTAAAGAGGGTTGTTTCGTAAAGGAAAGATTCAGTTGACTTGACCTTTACTTCCAGTTCACTTGATCTATGAGTGAAGAAATCACAGCTGTGAACCTTCATGCGCATAATAACATGGCCTGGGAAAGTATAAAGCAAAATCAACCAAAGTAAGAGAAGAAATTGATAAAGCTGTGATCACAGTGGAAGACTTTACCTTCCTCTCTCAGAATAGATAAATCAGATAGGCCAAAGATAAGGAAGGATATAGATTATTTATACATAACAGGATTAACAAATTCGAGCTAATGGATATATAAAAAATTTGTGTCTAAATGACAAAGACTATAAATTATTTTCAAAGACACATAGGATGGTCTTACAAACTGACTATACATTAGGCAACAAAGAAAATCTCCATAAATCTTAAAGAAAGCAGAAACGATATAGGTACAACATACAACTATGACAAACAGAAATTAGAAATCAAAAACAAACTAGCCAAAATAAATTTGAAAATTCAAAAAATGTTCCAGATAATCTCTTCGATAAAGAAATCAAGATGAAAAGTAAATATTTCTTCAGCAAGGAATGATATTGAAAGCACTACATGTCAAACTTGTGGGCTGTGGCCAAAGCCATTCCCAGAGGAAAGTGTATACCCTTATGTGCATTTACTAGAAAAATACTGAAAACGAGTCAACTAAACTTTCAACTCAAGAAACTAGGAAAAAAAGAATGAAATAAATCCAAAATTAATTGACTTAATACCGATAAAAGCAGAGATTAATGAAATAGCACAAGTATAAAAAATAAATTTAGTAAAAATATCTGGTTCTTTGAGGGGAGACATCAATAATGCAGACAAAGTTCATTCAAGTACATAAAAGAAGCACTAAAGAAACAGAAACATACTATGTTCCTCGATGGAAACAGTTATAAAGATGCCAATTGCATCCAAAATAATCTACCAATTCAATGCTATCCTAATCAATATCACAAATGAATCAAAAATTCATCTAAAAGACAATGAACAGTAATAGTCAAGAAAAATTTTGAACCAAACACAACAGCCACTGAAAAATAAACAAATGCAAACCAGAAAAACAAATAAAACCGATGAGTCAGATAGCACCTACCAGATAGCAAACATATATCTACGCTATGTTTATTATGCTATGCTATATATCATATAATAAATAATTGTAAGTTTCCATAATAGCTATATAGTTATTAATAAAATATCTCATAGACATACAAAGCTTATATTTATGTTATAAAGTTTTAGTAATTCAAACACTATAGTATTAGTCATGAAAGAAAAATAAAAGAACGGGGCAGAATTAAGGCTTTGGAGGTATGCATGTAAATTTAGTGTATAATAAACATAGCATATGAATCAGAGGGTAAGAATACACAGACAATAAGTGGTGTTGGCTGTTCATTTGGTAAAACATAAAATCAGATCTCTAGCTCACATTATTCAGAAAATTAAATTCCGGAGTGATCCAAGAGCTAAATATAAAATTAAAAAGCCATGTGATTAGCTAAGGGGAATACAACTGGCCAAAGAACATATTCAAATGTGCTCAACCTCACTAGTCCTCACATGAAATCCATGAGGAATGTGATACCTATTTTTATCCATCAAATTGGCAAAAATAAAAAAATTCATAATATCAGCAGAGTAAATGTGTGATAGGTAACTATATACACTGTTTATAGGAATAATAATAATAGAATCCTTTTATGACCAGCAATTTGGCAGAATATATTTAAAATTTTCAACACCTGTAATATAATGACTCAACAATTTAATCACTATATTCTGGATAAATTCTTGAGCTTATACTCAAAGAGAAATGAATATGGACATTCATTGTAGCATCACTCCTATGAGGGAAAATAAATTAGGGGTATATCCCTACAATGGAATATTTTGCAGCAGTTAAAAAACTCATGAGTTAGAAAATGAATAGCCTTTGAAAGAGCTCCAAGACAATGAAAAGAGTAAGGTATATACCGAACAGGTCATCATTCTGTAAACACACCCCAAAAAACTATGTATGTGTATAGAGACATCCACATGCCAGCACATGTTCGAAGAAAAAAGGGCCAAAGATGTGTCAAGCTGACGTCAATGGGGACCTCCAGGAACTGGAGTTGGAATGAAGGAGCGTTTGGTTAAGAAGGCCTTTCGCTCCATCCTTATTCTTTGATTTATTTTTAATAAGGAGAATATTTTCATGTAATACATGTACTACTTGAATGATTAAAACCAATTTAAAAAATTACAAAGTTAAGAAAACACAGCAGTCAATAATATTAATAAATTAGGAGTTAGGATTTCAAAGCTCAGAGAGCTGCTGGAATCCTAGGCAGGACGGGGCTTCCATATGCAAGGAGAATGGGGACTTTTCCTTTCCCCAAACTCCATGGATCAGAAACTACATGGGGCAGCAAGGGAAAAACAGCCCAGCCCAGGAGGACGTGGCCTCCACGCCAGATCCAAATGAAGATTCGAGAGCCCTCCAAGCTGTTGTTGTTCAAAGGGAAGCCCACGGTGCCCTGCGGAGATTCCTAAGCTCATATGATGTTGCTCCCCAGCCAAAACTGTTCATCAGAACTGGAACAGACAGATGGCCAGGGCA